AACAAATACTAAAGTATGCAGTGTTGATGTCATCTGGCGTTTGACGTCTGCTTTGGGTTCAAAGCAAACAAAACTAATGCATGAATTCCATTACAACATACCATTTTTATTGCAAAAATATGCAGCTGCACCTGCTACTGTATTAGCAGCAAAACAACAAACTGCATGCATGCAGTTTCTCAGTGACTTTAAAACATCACCTCCACCATAAAACTTTTTCTGATGCTCTAAATACAGAAAAACATCCCTTACCAGGGTTTTTTGAATAAATAAAAAAAATCAGAAAATAAGTTTAAATATTAAATAATAGTTAACATCACTTAAATGCAACAGCAGATTCTCTCATTACTACTGAGCATTCTCTCCACTTATGTGGTTATGATATAAGGCTGTTGCTGCTATTGGGAAGTGATCTGTGCTGGGCCAAACTAGGAGAATATTAAGATTTTCTGAGGGAAAGAGAAAAACAATTGTCTACCTTTCAGAAGAGAAATTGGCAAAAAATTACACGGAAAATATGTGAAAATGTTTGGTTTTAACCCCAAATTGAACAAGTTTACCTGGATCTTAAAAAGCAGCTCAGATGGTGAAACTGCAACTATGATTCTGATAACAAGCTAACAAATTGAACTAGCTCCTCTAAGATAACCGGCTAGCAGAGCTTCTGACTGACAGTTTATGTGCAGCAGCAAACCAACTATCCTGAAAAACAAGGTTATAAAAGCTCATTAATGAAAAATCACTTTGATTTGTGGGGGAACTTTTCCAAGCCCTCTTTAGCAGGGTGGGACTGGGAGGAGAGTGCTGTAGCCTTTTAGCTGGAAGCTAACTGGAGCCTGGGGCTAACGGTGAGTTGGTTCAGCGGCACGTGTCGGAGTCAGCCCGGTTATTATCAGCTGCTTAACGACACCGAGCGGGTTCACGTTCACGTTTGAAAGCAGCGCTGATTCCAGAAACCTCAGCACAAAGTGCGTTCGTTAGTCTGAGCCAGCATGACGAACAAGGGAAGCGAGCGGCAGCGGAGCGGAGATAGTGGAATTTTGGGGTAAGGGTCTACGTAGGGGGCGGGCGTATTACGTGAACAGACCCATCTGATTGGCCGCATATCAGAAGGGCTACATTTGATTGGTCGAATAATACTTCCGCGTAAAAAACAGCTGGTTTACAAAAAGTTGATGTACGACACGGATGGAAATGTTTGAACCAAACATTTATCACCGTTTTTGACGTGCTTTGCGATGGGCCTATCGCACATCCTGTTATCGTGATGACGATAATTTTTCAATATATTGTGCAGCCCTAATTTACAACAACATTTCGATAGATATTTTCAGAGATTAATAGTAAAAACTACACATTGTCTCTTTAACCCTCCTTTCTGTAAAGAACACTTACCAAAAGATTACAAATAAGTCACATGCAGGCATGTAGAAAATAATCAAACTTGTGTATTGGTATCAATATGTAGTGTAAAATATCTTATAGTTTAAAGATTAAACTTTAATGATGGCCTGATGAACAGGGTGATTTAGTAGAGAACAAGGAACAATCACATCTTAAATGTGAGATTGTATAATGTTAGAGGACACTTCTGCTTTAGTTGCAGTTGGTGCTCCTTTAGATTCTGTCACACGGAACAGAAACAACACACTGAGAGCCAGTGGCATCACCTTCACAGGAGAACAATGCTGCCAAGGCTGTTCTAGGATCTGTTTATGACCCAGGGGGAAACACAGGAAGAAGAGACAGTGTGCTTCGGTGCCATGTTGGCTCAGAAACACCTGGCCTAGTGTAACGAGACACAAGACTGTTTCTATGGCAGACTGCAGACAAAGAAAGCACCACCACTTCTGATAAAGCTAAGGCACAAATATGTCTCTAAAAATATGATATATTCTAATAATTAGTATAGTATCAGATCCCATTACTCATGGAGGAAGCAGAAATGCTGCAAATTAAACTGTGGTCTTAAAGACCAAGGTCACTGACAAACCATTTTTCTGTGTTCCTTTTAAAATATATTTGGTCATTCTGAGTATAACATGTAGGCTAAGCATGAAAATAGTCTTTTTTCGCCTATTTCCTGCATTGGTGTTCAGTGGTGAGCCCAGAAATAGACCGCCTTTCTTTCATACTCCCCCCTCTCAGTTACATCTGACCAGGTGAGGAGAGAACTAAGGAGGCCTCACCCATCTACGTTCAGTGGTGACCCAAACATGGGGGTGGAGGACGCGCTCATCTACCTGCAGCACTTGGTGCTGATTCACCTCGAGATGCAAAAGAGCACTGTGAAAATCATGTTCTTCTACTTCTCAAGTGTCTTCAACATCATCCAGCCGTGTCTACTGCAGCAGAAGATGAGGGGTGCAGGAGTGAACGAACATCTACAACTACCTCACCAACAGGCCACAGTACGTGAGGCTGCACAACTGTAGATCTGAGGTGGTTGTGTGCAGTACTGGAGCTCCACAGGGTACAGTGCTTTCACCCTTTATACCTCGGACTTCACCTACAACACCAGCAGCTGTCACCCCAGAAGTTCTCTGATGTGTCTGAGGTGAACGACCAGGAGTACAGGTCAGTCATTTAGGGTGTTGACCATCACCTGCTACTGGAGAGGATGAGAGACTGGGTAGGCCTATCAGGATCTGCTCTGGAGTGGTTCTCCACTTATCTCTCTGAGTGCTCCTTTTCTGTGGCCGTCTCCAAGTTTAGGTCCTCCACCACCTCTCTTACCCATGGTGTCCCACAAGGTTCTGTGCTGGGGCCTCAGCTCTTCCTCCTCTATCTGCTTCCTCTTCAGCACATCCTGAGCTCCTTCAATGGAATCTCCTACCATCTTTATGCAGATGACATCCAACTCTACATCTCCTTTAAGCCCCATGAGATGTCTAACCTGCAGCTGTTACACACCTGCTTCGACTCTATCAAAACCTGGATGGCTGGGAGCTTTCTTCAGCTGAATGAAGATAAGACTGAGATCTTCATCTGTGCCCCAGACAAGCTAGTTCCCAAAGTCAGAGACTCTCTTGGTCAGCTTGCTTCCCACACCAAACCTTCTGTCAGGAATCTTGGCGTGACCTTTGACCCAGCTCTCACCCTGGATTCTCATGTCAGTTCTCTTGTTCGCTCTTCCTTCTTCCATCTCAGGAACATTGCTAAGCTGAGTCCCATTCTGTCCCACTCTGAACCTGAGACAGTTCTCCACACCTTCATCTCCTCACGCTTAGACTACTGTAACTCTCTTTTCACGTGTCTGAGCAGAACCTCCCTGAACCGTCTACAGGTGGTTCAGAATGCCTGTGCTCGGCTTCTGACCAAGTCCTCCAAACACACCCACATCACCCCGCTTCTCCTCCAGCTTCACTGGCTGCCAGTCAACTTCAGGGTTCATTTCAAGATCCTGGTTCTGGTCTATAGGGCCTTACATGGACAAGCACCATCTTACATTGGTGATCTTCTTAGTCCCTACACCCCCAGCAGGTCCCTGAGGTCCAGTGATCAAAGCCTACTGGTTGTGCAGCACCAGGCTAAAGACCAAAGGTGACAGATCATTTGATGCTGTGGTCCCCAGACTCTGGAGCTCTCTCCCCCTGAGCCTGAGATCAGTGGACTCAGTGGTCTCCTTTAAAAAGCAGCTGAAGACTCAATTGTTCAAGCTGGCTTTTGTATGACCTTCTTCACCTCTCTCTCTTTATTCTGCCCTCCCCACCTATTCCACCTTCCTCAGGATCCACTGATTCCCCTCTTTTCTATTCACTCTCTCTCTTTCTTAACATTTTTTCTTTTAAATCCCAATTGCCTATTTTTGCTCATTTTAAATATATTTTAAAAATTTTCTAAATGCTTTTTATATTTTTACATTTTTTGTTTTTGTGAAGCGCCTCGTGATTTTTATCTTGAGAGGCGCTATAGAAATGATATTTTCTTCTTCTTCTTCTTCACTGCCAGAATTAAAAGCCATGAAACACACCCCACTGCTCTTCTGGAACGATGCAGGGAGTAAATAAGCCGTTGGGTCACATGAAAGCTACACATAATATCAAATTGCTTCGCTGCAGTTCTTTTATTTAGAAAATGACCTGGGATTTTACACTGAAACTGTGTGTGATTTCCTGTCTAGCCCAATGTTAACTGCAGAAGTTGTTGTGCCCCAGAAGTGGCTCACAGCAAAAATAAAACCCAATCCTATCTTTGGCGGTGCAGCACTTCTGAGATGCGCCTGAAATGCTGCATCACGGCTGGTTTGAAACACCCATAACACTCTAACCAATTCTATTCAAAGCAGTGACGTTCCACTGCCGTTGCACGCCGCCGATGCTTCCAGTGTGAAACAGGTTACAGTATCTCTAAAATACAAATGACAGGAAATTCAGCTCACACACTAAGAAGACCCCAAAGATGTTATTCTGCTCCTTGCAAAAAGCCTGTGAGCTCCTCAGAATGTTAAACAATTTTTAAATGTGATGCTTTTTGGTGAAATTAATTCCTTTGTCACTAATACTTTTGATCACGTAAATGCATCACACACCTCAGCAGTGCCCTTTTTAAATGGATTAGAAAGTAATTTAATACGAATACTAAAATATTTTTTTTTATTAGTGGAAGCATAAACAATAATTTGCATCGTCATGTCTGTGTTTTAGAACGTTTGGGTGATGGAAGAGAAACTAAGATCACTTTCATTGGTGTAAACGCTGTAGCCTTTTAAAAATCTACAAGCTCTTACCTAAGCTCGGGACAAGCATCTATTTACAGCAACAAGGTGAGAAAGCTGAATTAGTGCCAGCATCATCCAGGATGGGACAGCAGAGGATGATTAGGTAACCATGAGCTGCTTGCTCTAGGCGAGCTTCGAGTTTAAAGAAGATGTGGTAAACAACAAATGATCTGCCAGTGCAGCAGAATACCTGCACAGTAATATAAACATTTCACTCAGAACTTGGTAGACAGTTTCAAAACTGTTTGTCGTGAACCAAACTTGTACAAGAATCACTCACCACAGCAGTAGGTCTGTATGCACCACCTTTATGTTCAGTCAGAGTTGTATACCATGGGCTCACAACCTGCAGAAAAAAAACACAATACTTAATGTCTCTAATGTCTCCCATCCATCTGTGAAAGAGAGACTATATTTAATAAGGAAAAAAATCAATAAGCCATTTCAGGTTAACGTTATTCCACCACAAGCTCTGAAGATTCTAAAAAAAACTTTAGGAGCACAAAACAAAACTTGAGACATCCCAACATTTCTGTGAGCTTTATTGCAGCGTGATCGACCAGAATCGCAAGAAAAGAAGTAAAAAGACCCACACAAAAACGGGAGGTGAGCTACCTTTAGCCTCACTTTGGCTAATTTCCACATCAGCAGGGAAGAGATGAGAGTTCAATAAAGGCTTTGCAGCTGGGTGAGAACGAGAGGTGGAGAAATAAAAAATAACACTTGTTTGGATGAAGCGTCTCAACAAAACACTAAAGCTGTAAACCAGCAGGACCTTTGCTGAAAAATATAAAACAGTCAAAAAACAACAGAGAAGAAACATTATCATCATCAATAAATCAATCAGGGAATGGTTATCATAACAAATTTCATGTAATAAATATACAAAACCTAAGTTCATAAGTCTGGGACTTTTAGTTTAGAAAAGGAAGCAGTAGGTTTCCTCTCATGAAATAGTTTTGCAAGGTATTTTACAAAATACTGGAATAAATGCAATGTATGGTTTAGGATTGGGCGATTGGACAAATAATCTAGCCATCAGCGATATCTTTTATGCCTATAAGTTGTCTCGTGGATGGGACATTACAAATGTCCATGTCAAATCAGCATCTTTATTGCAACACCGGTTCTATGTACATATACACATTACACGTCATTTAAAAGCTGGGATTCTTGTGGTTCTAATGATAGACTGCAATCAGTGATTCAACCACAACTCAAGACACAGTAAATGCTGTTGTAAAACCACTCGGAAATTCAAAATGTCTAATTCACCATTCAAAGCCTCACATCTTTGACAGAATAGTGCTATCCCAAACAAAAACGGTCTTCTTACATCCAGAAGTCCAATAAAGGTATTCTTTATTGTTGGTCCACAACAAGTCTTGTCTTGTGCTCACAATCAAATATAATAGACCGCAGAAAACATTGACAATTTTCCTCTGACGTTCCTCTCATAATCCCCGTTAGCATCCAAATGTTAGCTTCAAACTTCTGAGTGACATCTTCCTGAACCAATAGATGAAAGGATACCTACCCTCTGCTGGGCTAAATCATCAGCTACTGGCTGAAAGGTCAGAAGTACCACCCCATGTGTTGCGCAAACCAACTGTGGTGCAGTTTATAGTTAATTGACATTTTGGAGAAAAATTCAAATTCCTTTCTTACAGCCCAAGCCCAATGAAGCAGACGCTAGCTTAGAAACTGGAATGTTGAAGGTGTGGTTGACCATTTTTAACAATTATTTCTGATTATAATCAGTCACTGAGTTTTTAATGCAGGGTCAACCTGAAAATAGTCTCCCTACCTACCTACCTACCTACCTACCTATCTATGTCCTGCATTAACTTCTGAAAGTTAGTCAGCTAGTTGAAGCTAGTCGTTAGCAACTCCACAGTGAAAGCAGTAGAAGTGTTGCATTGTTGTTAGCCAATCAGAGGCAAGACGTTTGCATAACACATAATGATTAAGACTCATGATCCTGCAGGTTTCCACTCCGTACTTTCCGGACAAACTTTACTCCCTAAAACAATTTATACAGATAAGTATTTTCAGGACCCTTCTTCCTAAACACAGCTCGCTTCCTTGTTTTTCCTGACCTGATATCTCTTTGTGAATTATCCTTTTTGTCACTGTTTCTATCTTTTCTTTCAAGTTTCTCCTCTTCAGGTTTCTGGCTCCCAACAATACTGGCCACACTTGCAGCTGAAAATCCAGAAGGAGACTACACGTGGCAATACTCACTTGTGATAAAGTGTTATTTCTGAAGGACACAACAGTGAGAAGCCAGAAATGAGGTTTGTAACCAGCATTAGCCTTTGTCAGGTGGCATCAACCAAAACATTCAGCTGCTTAACATTAGACTGGACCCTAAAAACAAAGAAATATCCTTTTCTAACATACAGAACATTTACTGATGTTAGACAGCACTTTTTATAAAGGTTGAGTTCATCCTGAATTACTTACAGGTTAAATATGGACCACAGCAGAGAGGTGTGTGAATTCTGCTTCTTTATGCAGCAGCACAATAGGTGTGCCCTGCTTATAGGAGTTTTCCTGATTATACTCACATTGAAAAAGCAAGGTAGAAAATGTGCCTTTAATAAGAATAAGAACACATTGTAAAAAGGGGTGGGCGATAGGACTGGGCGATATGGCCTAATATCAATATCACAATATATTGAGGATTTCACCTTGATAACGATAAATGGACGATAACTACAGGTATGCGGAGAGACAAAAGTTGTCCACTAGATGGGGTTGTCACATGTATTACCTTGAGTCACATTTTTTACATGACTGAAGGTGGTACAGCTTGTTAAAGCGACATGAATGTGGCCAACATCTTTTCATTTTTTATTGTCAAATTTATAGACATGGGAAAAATTACGTTGATAAGAGACACGAATTTCGATAACGATAAATTTTCGATTTATCGCCCAGCCCTAGTGGGCAATATATTGAATTTACTCAATGAATCCCAAGCTTTTCCATCTGCGATGGTTGAATTGGCCCTATCGGAACCATCCGGTATGAATTATCAACAAAATTGAGCTCTCTGCTTCTAATTCGCTACTAGTTTTGTTTCTTTCACATGCTGCAAATGCATCACTACTTCCCACTCCCAACCTGAAAAATTTAAACCTGACACACTCCGCCCAGTTCATTGGGAAAATAAAAAGATTGTGAGCGTGGGAGTTTTTGGTAGGCGAAGGAATAAACCTGAAGAGGAGTCAGACAAGCTAGTTCTGGTAAGAGTAGAGGATCAATTATCTAAATGGTTTGGGTGTCACAAGGCGGACGATTTAAAAAAGTGACAATTTGTAAAACATCCTTTTGAATATTTTGCATAGTTTTGTATAACGCCGGTTTAATTAACCAACATTTTTAGTGTACAGCGCCTTGTTTGGTTGTAATGCCTTGTTAATGCGCTTTATAAATAAAATTGGATTGGAATTGGATTGGATTTGCAAAACTAAATATCTCAGAAACAAGCGTGTATCATTCCCTACTCACTGATATGAGTGAATTTAGGGAGATTCAGCCAGGTTTGCCTTCACACTTTTAAAGAGCAAGTAACACCTAAACTAACTTATTTTTGCTGATAACCTGTATAGATGAGTGTCTAATGGTGCAGTACACATGTGCAATCATTAGTGTGGAAGTCAGGTTACTTTAAATTTAATATTTCAGCCCAAAACCGTAATTATATATATTACATGTATGGCAGTGTTTCAAAAAATTTTACATTTTCATTTTAGACATTTAGGCATATCTCGGTCACCCTCTGTGAGCCTGTCAGAGAGCCCTTGGGCATAAGAGCGTTGCTTGTCTCCGCACCAATGCAGATGGAAAAGTATAAATCAGGGTTTATTGTCAACGTCATTTGCTGTGTCCTCCGTCTCTTTTTTTCCATTCTGAGTGTTCATTTTTTCATATTTGTACCAACCACGTAACCTGTTACCTACAGCAGGCTTAAGCTACACTAAAATTAGCTGTTCGCAGCGCGTCCGTCTGGCTGCTACAGAGCCGTGTAGCTCTTTTCTTTATGTCAAAGTTCTATCGACCGGTTCCCATATGTCTTTTGAGGAAATGTTATTTCAACATATATATTGCTATCATTTTATTAGCCAGCCCTGCTCCAGACAGCAGGATTTAGAGTCGTATTTCCTGAAATATGGGCATCTCACCTCAGACTGGATAACAGAAATGCAACTCTACCACTGACCCAGTTTGTTCTGCAACAATGATGTTTTATCTCCACCACAAATCACTCAAGCCTGAATAAGATCTGCCCTGTGGTGGACTTGCTAATGCTAAACGGTAGCTTCTACTGGCCGAGACGTTCTCTGCTGTTTCCTGGACGCTAAACCAACAACAGCCTTCCCCACTGTGAGTCGAGATGGGTGAATTCAGGAATGTTAAGTGACAGTGTGACGTAGATCTTCTCAGGCTTTTCAAATCCTATCATTTCATTGTCTATTTTCTATCAGAAGCTAATGCAGGAGATAGGTGTAGGAGGCTATTTTCCACAGTCATTCTGCATGTTAAAGTGACTGATCATTTTCAAAAATGAGTGCGTTTACATGCAGCCAGTAACCCTTTTAAAACCCAAATATTCCCAATAACCCGGTTCCGCAGGTCCATGTAAACACCGCCAAAAACCCGGATATGCTCATAACCGGGTTTTTAAAAACCCGGTTACTACACCTGGGGTAACCCTTTTCTAACTCGAATGTTTGGTCGTGTAAACGCATATCGGGATATCCCCATCAAAGCGTGTGTTCTGCGCATGCTCTGTTCGCAAGGAATCTTGGTCTTTTGAGTAGCGAGACGTCTTGTATGCGCCAGAACACCGGAAGTAAACAACAAGTTGGGAGCAACATGTCGAGTCGCGGCACAGCACCACACTTTTGGAGTGGCGAGGAAACTAAAGCGCAAACAAACGCGGTCGCTATCTCTTCCGAACTGGGAAACATGTTGTTGTTTTCACGGATACCGGAACAAGAAGAACCAGAAATGATGCATATTGCGTCTGGACGTAGTCCACACGTCCTGACGCTACCCCAACGTCCGCATTTAAATCGGGTTATGCAAGTTAGAGGTAACTCTTTCTATTTATGCTTGTAAACGGGTTATTCTGATCAACTCAGAAACCCGAATGTCGACCTTAACCCGATCATAACCCGGATATTGGCTGCATGTAAACGTAGTCACTAAGTAAAAAATGGTTTCTCAGTGAATGACCTCTTAAGCACCAGGTCTCCATGACCCTGGTCATGAATAAGCAGATATTCTTACCGCTAGTTATTACAGGCTTTGATCTCACCTGGAAATTGCCCCTTT